GCCTAATATCAAATTTGGCCGATTTTGGTAATTTTTCAGAGTTATAATTATTGACCTGGATAACTTTCGAAAATATTACGTATATTCGAAATGGTTGAGAAATAACTGCACTATAGAGGATAAAGTTATTTCTCAACCATTTCGAAATTTATAAGCATTGTTCATAAGCTTTGTATTACTGGTTTGCCTTTAAAAGAATCGCAATATGGAACCCACGGACTTTCGAATATATTACGTATACACTCTAGAGGATAAAGTTATTTCTGAACCATTTCGAAATTTATAACCATTGTTCACAAGCTCAGTATTACTGGTTTGCCTTTAAAAGAATCGCAATATGGAACACACGGACGACTTGGCTGCTGTTGGTGTATATTTCCTCGCTGGGCAACCTATGTGATCGACATAACTTAATGAACAAACGTAACGGATACATCTATATCAATTGCGTTTTGAAATCTAGGTACGGCACTAATGATCGGAATAAAGATATGAAAATAAAAAAGACCATTTTCGATCCGACAATTTATTCAAAATGATATAACAGTCGAGATCGGAGAGCTAACATGTGCCATGAAATAGATATATTCAAGTCTTTCTTAAAGCCGTTAACCGCTCATAAAAAAATCAATCGTGATTTTCTGTGTGCAGATATTTAAATACATTTATTTTTTTTACAATATGTTGCAATCATTGATGTGAGATTTAATTGCAACACGTAAATGTTTTATCGTCATTCAAATTAAAAACTGAACATTTTATGATTACAAAAAGATTTATGGTATGCCAAATATATATTTTTCCTGTCTTTAATTAATAATTTGACATTTGATTTGATTACATATAAGCATATGGTATTTGAAAAAACGAGATTTATATGAATGTTTATATTCTTAAACCATTTCCATTAAAAATGTTTTCATTTCTTTAACGTGTCATTAAAGATATATTTTCCTTTCGACTAGAATAATCAGTAAATAAGCTTTAATTAGTTTGTTAATTACTTTAAGACATTTGACATGATGAAGTGGGTAGATTTGTTGGGTTTTTTTTTATTTTGAGATTGAGTTTGTTTTATATGGCCTTTTCAAACAGTTATAATTTATTTCCCTACATGTTTATTTTCTGTACACAATATTATGAATTTAGTTTAAATTTCTCGAAAATTCAATACTTTAGGAATATAGCGAGTTCTCCTTCTGGTGGTAATAGCGTATCAAGGAAATAGTTGACTCAATATGGGAGTTTATAGTTAATCAAAACGTTTAACCATGGAAACGAAAATAGTCTGACAAATTACACTAGCTAGTGTACTTAAGTAGAGCCCATTAGCTAGGTTGCTCATTTCAGTAATTATTCCCTTGAGGTGAACTAAAAGAGTGTTATAATTTTTAAACAATAGATGCAATTTCACATCTATTTACCAGCACTTATTGAATCTCGCGAGTTGCTTATTTGCGTCAATATCAATTGAGTTTCCAATCAATTGAATTAATGAAAATAACAGACAAAATCAGAAGATTGTTTTCGTTTTTAATGGAGCCAGAATATCTTATTCATATTTTCATGTAGTCATTATTCATAAATATAAAAAACTGTCTTTAAATTTAAAATATCCTCGGTGTAGTATTGAAAGAACATTAAAGATGATCCTTGTTTCGATCTATGTGATGATTTATTTTATCTTTCGTTGTTAAATAACATTGCCAGGGCATTTGAACCGGGACAAAGGCTTTATTTTCATCAATCTATCGGACAAAAACTTTAAGTGTCCATTTTTCCTTTTAATCCACATGGTTTAATAACAAAAGTAACAAAACGAAGAAAATGACGAAATATTTACTAAAAATATGTTAACTTGAAAGTCAAATGATCCAAATGGACGGGTCGGGGAGGGGGGGGGCATTTGAAATGTACCCTTTCTGGGTTTATCCTTCACAACCCCCGCTCCAAACATTTTGGGATCTGCGCTGGGTATTGTCTTACAAATACAGAATTTTGCAAAGTAAAAAAAGCAAATCTGTTGCCCATGCAATATTAATCCACATAAAATGTGTTTTCTCAGAAATTAGTGTGAGATTTGTTGACTATAAAGAGAGATCTGTATGATCATATATATTAGCGATGGTGACCTCAATCATAGAACTCGGTAATAACACAGGCAAATTATTACTTTGATATTAACTTTTACTCTATAGGGAACTTGTCAATCAAGCTGGAAAATTAATGTCATTCAGATGAACAAAAAGCTCATTACACAGCTTGCCATAACTCACCATCGGCTATATACTATGATGGAATGTTATTTTATATTTTTTTTCTTAAAGCATGTCAATCTCTTGCTCCGTCTAATATCTCGTTAGAAACTATCCTACTAATTATACTGGTGTGTAAAATGTTTCTTAAAGGACGATATTGGTGTCAGCTATTATCATATTATGTGATAGAACTTGTTTAGCACGTTCCAGATATAATTTTAACACAGTAATCATTGCACGATAGATGGTCTTCGAAGGAATTATCAGTTGGCGGAAATTCGGCTGTGTCTCTATTATCTCTCGTTCCTTCAGGCAGTTATATAGAAGGATAGCTCGTGGGTTTTTTTTGCTTTCGTCATTTCCGTTTTTTTAAATCTTTGTTGCGCATCTATTGTTGCAATGATCTCTGTGTTAAAATTATATTTGGAACGTGTTTAACAAGTTCTATCACATATCTGATAATGGCTGACACCAATATTGTCCTTTAAAGGGGTGGTTAGACCAGTGGATAAAACTGTGTTGAACCGTGAGTGCATAATAGACTCCTGAATGGTTTGTCTACTATATTACGGGAAAAATTGTCTGAATTGCCAACATACATTAGAGATCATACTTTTCGCTACATTTTGGACATAGTTTTTTCTACCGATGTTATAGATAAGTTACACATGCTATTTTCTATAGTACATTTAATTGCATTAATTCTTAAACATAGAGATTTGCTCTTATTACCATCTCCAACGCCAGGATAAACTATATTCTTACAAGCTTATTATACTGTGCATCTCGTTCACGGTGGGTGGTGGGCTTCAAAATTATGGCTTAACGGAAATGTTCATTACTTTCTAACGGCATGTATTGACAGCACAGGTTGCTTAAATGACCCTAGAGAAATCGAGCCACTATCATAGCATCTCTCCATAAAACCATCACGCTGAAATTCTTACAGACAAGTTAATTATACCGCCCTTGAGCGTAAGTCAAACCAGCCTCTGTAAAAAAAAAGTTTCTTTAAGCGTATGATATGAGGACAATTTCACTGTCAAATACCTCAAAAGAGAAGTGAAAAGGTTTCATCTTTTTCTTCACTGATTCTATACATACTACAGCTACAATTCAATCACACCAAACACACATTTTGTTCATTGTTTGGGTTTCTTGGTGCAGAAGAAGATAAAGAAACGCAACCGTTCCCGCCAGCCCTTGGGGCATGTTGAATTGGATGGTGAAAGGGGAATTTACATAAAGCGATCTATGTGTTCGATTTACCGTGCAGTGCATTGGTACTCCTGATCGATTTTACATTATTATCAATAAAAAAAGTTCCAACGCAAATTGTCAATTCAAACTATGCAAATTTTGTTTGGTCAATTTAGATAATGCGCAAGAGACGGGATCTGATTGTAATTGGACACCCACAAAACCAATACTTCTATTTCAATATTGGCATTCCCTAATGGAATTACCAATTACATTAACTGTATTCTTTGAAGATCCTCTTTGGTGAGACGTTTAATGGTTTGATGCCACAGAATTAACATTCTCAGATGCTACTGATTTTTTTAATTGATAGAACACTTATTAGGTATCACCAAGAACTGCTGAAAAGGGTTTAAAGTTTCGTCATGTCATCACTTTTTTGAAGCATTTTAGAGAATTTCTATTTCTATGGTTACGTGTGCAGTGCAAAAGAGGAATATTGTTCGGATAGCGGCAATTCTATTTACTAATTCCAAATGCCTAAGGGGTAATATCATTTGGGTAATATCTGAACGATTAACCATACCTTCCTTATCAATCCCCCAAGATTACTGTCCGTCCAGAGTCCAGGACACAACTACCCGCATTCACAATTTCATTTTTTAGTTGGGTAACTTGGTACTAGATTTAAATCCCCGTCTTGTTTGAAAACCAGGCCGGAAGCTAAACCTGAACCACATATCTGGTATGTTTTATAATTGTATGTACCTGAATACCTTAAGGACAGGGTCAATGACTATACTTAACTGACATTGGGGTCATCACATCCACCAAAAACCTAATTAATCGCAACGTTAATTAGAAAATACGGCAAAACAATCTTGTTGGAGATATTAACTTAGTCTAAGATTAGCACAAGGCGTTATTAAGTATATGAGTTAGTTTCTCAGTGGTAATAATTACTATATAGACGAGTAAAGACACTGAATAACGAGCTTAGGGATTCACTGTGTATTTGGAATTATTACCACGAGGAAAAATTACCATGTGATTTCCATGCGAAAGTTTTTTTCCATCAGTTTTATCAAAGAATGTAAAACCCAATCATTTAGCCAGCTCATTACACAAAACATTTATCTACCATAAGGAACAAACATAAAAATGTGTTTTCTTTGAATGGCATTTAGTAATTGAAACATAATCAAATAAAACACTATTATATGGATAATAATTACTATGGTTTATTACACTGCGACGTTTCAACATGATTGCACAAGTTGTTATCAGGCATATATCAACGCAAATGAATAATGTTAAATGAAATTAATTTTGGGAGAGCGCGATCCAAAATGGGGTTCCGGTTTCTTGTGGAAATTATTTGGGGCGGGGGGGGGGGGGTGTCCGTCGACCCTGAGCTCCTAAAAGATATGTTGTCCAACAACAAGTACTACTTCAATATATATTAAGAAAAATGTGTGTTTCAAATGGATTATGTTTTGACACCCGATTGTTATGTCTAATGCTCGTTGTTTTTCATTTCAGTTCTGGTAATGGGAGCTGGTTTGCTTATTTTTCCATTGGGACTGAATTCTTCCTTTTATCAACATTATTGTGGCAAGGCATCGGCACCGTATAATTTTGGACATTGTGTCGTTGGCTGGAGTTACATGTTAGGAATCATGGGAACAGCATTATCAATATTTTGTCCGTTTTTATCACAATACACCGATATGAACGCCACAGACTTATTTTCTTGAGAAATATTTTCAGAAATGTATGTGGTCGGTATCTTCAATATGGCATAATGTTCATGGAAAATGTCCGCCATTGGTTGTGAGGCAATATTATATAATTTATTGTGCTGACATTTTTTCATAGGTGTTCAAAGAATTGATTGTGGATTGCGTTGTGATGTTCACTTTATTATTTATTTTACTATGATTCAATATTCACATAGACCTTATTGTGATCTCTTAGATCGGATCTCGTCACGATTTGGTTAGGACTACATCAAATGAATCTATGATTGGTGAAACAATACAAGCTAGCTGCACATCAAAACATACATACGTGAATACAGCACAGTTTGGGTGTCACGGTAAATCCAGCTATTAGTTACGTGGCACCACAAGACACCACGCGTTTCACAGATGGGCCTTCTAACAAATGATAAAGTAAGCATAACATGTCGTGTGCATGACATACGCCACAAACATGATACACGTCACAACTTGTAGTATTATGGGTCACCCACCCGTACAACTTTCGCGGGAGAAGTAAACGTAAAGCAGAATAGTGATGGTTTCATGGTGTATGGATGAGAACTATTGAAATAAATGTACAGTTAAAATTAAACAATCGTTATCCTTAACAATCGAATCAACTATAAATCGTGATTTAATATTTATTCTTCCAAACTACTGACATATATCGTTGATGTCAAATGGATGATAAAATGTCAATCAAACTCGATTGTGCCCCATTATCGTATATATAGCTACCGTGTCGAACAACAGCTACAACATCTAGCTAGTGGCCCTGTGATTTGTATGTAAATAAAGGAATGGTTGTTCTCGTTCCGTTTTCCATTGTCAGAAAGGATTGGCTCAGCATCTGAAGTGTTCCACTGAACATTTGGTCAATGGAAGCAAACTATTCACTCTAAAACAGAATTGATTAAATGGGGATACATGTAATGGTGTAAAATATTTTGTTTTTAACGTATGTATGTGTCATTCAGTAAATTATTTAAAAGAATTGTGCGTTACATGTTTGATTTTTAAATTAAAATCACTAGATCTCTTTGATTTGGGTCAAAATTAAAATTGTCGATTTCATTGGATTTAATATGTTGCTTTGTTTAGTTAGATGACATTGTGTCTTCGTTGAAATGTTTACGTCTATAGATAAAACAAGTATTCAGATTAAACTAAAAATTAGTAAACAAGTCGAGATTGGCTTAATTGTACGAAACCAGACAAAACATTAATCGGACAGAGCTTGCCCCGTCACTATGACACCCGGTCGACCTTTATTTTGACCTGAATCAAAGAGGTTTAGCTCCCTTTAGACAAAACAGATTAATCGACAAAAATTACTGGTCCAAAATACAAAAAAGATGTTGGTAACCTGCTCATTCAAATGTGAAGAAATATCAGGGCATCAGGTTAAATGGGGATTAACGTCCAACTTCTCTGCACCAACCGAGATCACGAAGACGAGCATACACCATGCAGGGAAATTTTGCCCAGACAGTTGCGCTACGGCCTACTCTCATTTCTGATTCCAAATGTCAAGGGTTTTATTGGGTGCACACCAGGGTTTTCGTCCAATCCGAAATACTGGACGCCAACACGCGGAGCGATAAGCTATAGAAAAAGTAGACATAATATTATCCTGCCTCGTACACCACACAGAGTATTACAGCATACGATATTAAAACTTGATAAAACAAAGAATTTGCAGATTTTTTTTTTGTGAAATCGCACGAACGCGTTAACAATAGCATTTTATTTATAGAATGTATAATGAGGTATAATATTGATTGAAATATGAGTATATTCTTAGTTTTGTCTTGGTCTCTCAACCAGACAGATATTAGCCCGTTACTGGTCCCCCACTATTATTAATAGCTTAAATGTCTTACCCGCGACAGACATAACTACTGGAGACGTGGAATAGATTTCACTGCCAGTGTTATGATTATTAGTCTGTTATCCATGGGATTTGTTTTTAGATTGAGATCGCCATACGGTAGAAAATCCGTTAAGTCACCATTGACGTGTGAGCCATTATTTTCTGATTATTTCCCTGGTATTTTTATAAAGATTAAATCCTTGGCAAATAACAGTGCGGCATATTGACAATCTGTGGCATGGTGAGGAATTTAATGAGGACAGACGACTGGTAGAATGATCAAAGGCATGTTTAGTGATTTTAAATAAAATTGTGTTAACCTAAATAATAATTTTATAAGCATACACAGTTATATAAATAATATGAACTAAGTTTCCAGTTGCAATAATGTAAATCCTGACCTTCAGCGGTGTAAATGAAAAAGGGGTTTAACGTTCTAGTTTTTTCTTCAACTGGGCTAATGAAGACGGTCCTACACCACTGAAACCTTGAGGCTAGGAACTTTCTTCGCCAACACAAGGATCGAACCCGTGAACTCATGTTTAGTAAGTCAGTGCAATACCCACTGAGCCAAGCCAACTATGTACTTCGAGTGGGGCTAAATGTAGACAGAGAGCATAGTATACCATGTGGTCGGTGGCGTAGACGGAGAGGCTTCGGTTTTAGTAAGATTTTATTATGTTGACATGCAAGTCGGCGTGCAAATTTAGTAGAAACACAGTTGCAATGCTCACCCCCTCACTAGCCCAGTTAGGAGCAAATCAGTAGGACGTTAAACCCCATTTCATTTCATATCATTTCACCCCACCACCGCACAGCACAGCACGCCGCATGACGTGTAGTATGTCCATAGTCATTAGTTTGTGGTGCAGAAAAGTAGGACGATAATTAACGTTGCAAAGCAGTGTTGTTTCAGGGTTTTCCAAGTAGACGACTTAGTAAGGTTAGACGTTTGGTCATATCCAGATCACATAAATGCAAATCCGTCTCATACTCGATAATCGGTAATGCTTATTGCTAACTGGTGTGAGAGTTTGGATATTCTTACAAATTATGCTTCGAACTATATCATATTATGGCCGTTTGGAAACGCATATGGAGTCTCAAAATTTATTTCCTTTATATTAATTTCTTTGAATTAATAGTTTCACATTGACTAACCTGGCATGCAAGCATGAAAAGACAGAATACAGACTTCGCCATTCTTTGTCGAAACAAAATTCAATACGCTACCACATCGACAGAAACAAGAACCAAATGGGCGGATAAACAGTTGCTCAAGACAGAACACAGCTATCGCCATTCTCTACAAGCCATCCATCTTATCAATTTAGGAGACAGTGTCCGGATATTTTGATAGAATCTATGACCGAGTCGAGCTGTTAGAGTAATCAAATAACGAAGGAAGACAATCTCAGGAGTCACTGGCTGTAGTTGGGAGATGAAGAGGATAACAAGTAGATTGAATGACCAGTTGATGGCTAAACCATTGATTATAACCTTTAAATGACACCCTAGACAGGCCGCTACACTGACCAGTAGTAGCCAGTAAAAGTATAAGTGAAATAGTTATTAGTTGATAACTGGACTATAAAAGTATTACTCCATGCAGTCAATCAAATATTAGTAATTATGATAGAAGTTTTTATTATAGAGAGGGAATGCGTTGATGACTGTATTATGAGTTATAGAGATGATTAATAAAGTAGAAAAGGTCCATGCTGTGTCAGATTATATCAATTTCTGGTCTGATTTAAAAGGAGCCTTCGTTTCCGAACATGTTGGATGTGTCTAATCAGATCAACATGCAAGGGAGATTTAGATATAATGAAGTCTGACCGGCAAATAATGAACTTGACGAAGTTGGAAATCGGTGTCCGGCTCGGCTTATTTGAAACCCCCGGTTCTATAAATGTGCCTTAAAGATATCTTGAGGTTTTAGACATCTTCGATGTTCGGTAAAAAATGGTTTTCGATTTACTGGGATTTACTTGTTTTTGCACCACTAAAATTTATATTTCGCACATAATTGTGCTGAGGAATAAACAAAAGGTGAAAAAATTTATAAAGGATCGAAACTGAGTTTTCAGATTGTTAAGGAAGAGGGAGGGGGTGGGTTACATAATTCACGTAAAAACCCTTGACAAATGCAATTCGAAATAAGAGAAGGTCGTAGAGCCGCTATACGGACAAAATTTCCTTCATTTATAGCAGACTGCTGTTTGCCGTCTTCAATCTTCATTCGTCCAGTTAATGTTAATTCCCATTCCATTTCATTATTGTTTCCTTGTGCGTTTAACGGAATCTTAGGACAACTCGAACAGTATAGATGAAATTCAACAATAACAGTTTTAACTGTATATTCGGTCGGGATATTTTGGACGTCCTGCATTCGTGCAGTTCTCAACGTGCTTTGAATGATGTCAACCAGCCTTGATGAGTGATGCATTGTTTCTTGATGCGACGATCCTATGTTTAGAAAAACGTTCATTAGGCAGTATGATTACAGACACAACGGTGTATCTCTGTAATTAAGAGAACAATCAACGTCAAACCCTCCAGCATCTCACCTCCCTAATTCAATTTGGTAGAAGAGGTTGCGTGAGTGGAAAAATAACCAAAATGGCAATGTCTTTTCTACTGTCTTATTTTAGGAAATTAAAGACTGGCTGTGCCAAAAAAAAGGGCCTTTTAAAAAAAATTCACACGAATCAAACGAAACAAGGGGCTATTTTAGAATTAAAAAACCCAAACAGAATGTGCTTACGGAAATGTGTTTAAAATAAAAAAAATATTTTATTTATATCCATAAAATCTCATCAAGCCCTTTGTGCTATATTAAGAATTTATTATTAGCACGACTAGCGTGTCTAGAAACTGGCTACTCCTGAATGTTTTTCCTCCATCCCAATGTTTACTTTTTCATCAAGATACTGCTGACAAGATCAGATTGACATGTATAATCTCGTTTTTAAGAACAAAGATTCACTGTTAATGCCACTTAAATCGATTGAGCAGGCAGAGCGACAAAAAAGTTCATTATTCAAATTATAGACATGTTATTTAGATCGTAATTAAAAAAGAAAATAAGTGAAAAAACGTGGACAATCTATTCACCATGGTGAGGAGGTTCACCAAGGCTGCGAGTCTTCCCATAGCACACGAAATATCACTGTCTTCCATACCACTAAAGTAATAATTCTTACACAAATTAAATACAACTCGAATCATTATTATACAGACGTATACAAATAAACGTGAAATTCAAATGGTTAGCACTTATATATTAATATATTATTTTGGTAATAGTCGTTTCGGTTGTATAAAGTCCAGAGAGGAGAGTTGTCTAAATAAATGCACTGAGTGGATGTCAAGCCCCATTATTTCCTAATACATGTACAAAGAAACCTAAGAGTTTACATGTAACATCAATAATCTGGTACACTCTTACATCAAGTGCCTCCCTAATCAAATGTTTCAGGTGGAAAATCTTTATAGAACAAGTAAATGGGCTGTATAAACGTCCTTATACGTATTAAATCACAAGTACATTTGCCACCCATCATTGTAAGATAGACAAAAGTGGCATTGGCCTGGCGGTGCCAATATCTTTGATGGATTGTAATCCTTACCCAATAATTAGGACAACCAGTCCACAAGTTTAACTAGGCAATATAACATTTACCAGGAAAATAAATATAAACAAGCCAACAGTGAGGCTGATGTACGAAAGCCCAGAAGACTCATTCCAAATTCCAAATGCGAAATTCCGAATTCATGTCTTACCAATAAAATAGCAAATTGGCAGCCCCCCCCCCCCCAATTAAACAAATTAGAATTTAAATAAATTGTAATTTTACACAACTAATTAGTGCTAGTTTACCTATCTGATGCCTGGGCCAGATAAACACATGTTCCAAATTACTAGATTCGAAATTCCAAATTACTAGATTCGAAATTCCAAATTCCAAATGGGAAATTCCAAATTCGACATAATCACGTGACATCATGGCTGCTGCAGAGAAGAAAAGTGTCGCCGATGCGGGGGGATTTGACCTATACATTTAATATCCGTGGAACATTTACCCTGGGAACTGAGTAAGTGATCAAGTACTGCAACT